GGGCTGGGCAGGTAAGACAAGGAGTGGGTAGGAGGATGGAGTCTAGGCCCGGGGCCTCAGAGCTGCGACAGGATGTTGGGGGCCAGGCTACAGGTGAGGCCTGTGCCATCTGGTTCCACATTCAAGGCCTTCACCACACCATCATCTATCACCATGGAGAACCTACCAGAAAGAGGGGCCAGGCCAATTGGGTCAGGCTGGAAATGGACACAGGAGGGTGGCAGGAGCCGGGAACCCAGCGGACCCATCAGAGGACCCTCCCATGTTTACCTCTTGAGCCTGCGATTCCCAAAGAGCGGCACCAATGAATCATCTAACAACAAATCGGTCTCCTGGGGGGGGAGGGGTGCAGAGAAAAGGGTCGGGAACTCCTAGAATGGGCCCAGTCCCCCGGCTGTGTCCCCCTAAGTCCCTGCTTCCAAGACCTGAAACCACCCACGGGGTGAAAAGGAGACACACTCACCTTCCCAAAGGCCCCAGTGGGGTCAGCCAGGAGCCGAACCTGAGACGAGAGAAGGAAGGGTCACGGGGGCCTCTGCTGCCGACCCCCGACCCGAGCAGGACCCGCATCTCACCTTCCCTTCTGCGTGGTGGACTCTTCCCCATTCTCCAGCCACAAAGACGTCGTTGACACTCAAACACGCCACCACCTCGGCTCCCTTGGCCTTGAGAGCCCCGGCCTGTTCCACAAACCCTGGCAGGTGGGTCTGGGGGCAAAGAGAGAGTCAAGAAAGGGATGACCGCCCCTGCTCCTTGGCCCTCCTCTCGTTTCTAGCCCACTCACCCCCACTTCCCTGCTTCCAATCCCTTGATGGGAACTCTGTCAACTGTCCTATTTCTTTTTCTACCTTGACCACCAGGAAGCTCAGACCCAAACTTAACACTCTGTGGTCAAGACCGTAAACGTCCCACAGGCAGGACTCTTGTGGACTGAATCCCAAGTGCATTTCACAGTGCCTGCCACCCAGCAGGGTCAACAAGGCTGTTCAGATTAACGTAACCATTTCTCCTACATTCCCAGTCCTGTTACCTTTTTACAGCCTCTACTTACTTTCTAGGAGCTCTAGTGGCATAGTGCCTAAGGCACTTGACTGCTAACCAGAAGGCTGGCAGTTCAAAACCATCAGTCACTCCTTAGAAGGAAGATGGGGCAATCTACTTCCGGAGTGATACTGCCTGGGAAACCCAAGAAGGGGTCGCTATGAGTCGAGTCCGACTCGATGGCACATAACAACAATAACAACAACAACACTTACTTTCTGGATATGCCGATACCAGAAAAATCAAACTCACTGCCATTTAGTTGGATCTGACTCACAGCAACCCGTCCTTGGGTTTTCAAGTCGGTATCACTATGGAAGTAGATTGCCCAGTCTTCCTTCCAAGGAGTGGCCGGTGGGTTTGAGCCTTCTGGTTGGCAGTCAGATGACTCAGCGCTGCACCACCAACCGCTACTTACTTTTGTTACAAGCTGCCTCAGGGCTTTAGAAGGACACAGGAAGGAGGATGTGTGAGCAATAAAAACAAGCACAAAAGACCTCGATTTCTGGCTCCTCACCTTGGAACAGCCTGGAGTAAAGGCCCCGGGAACTCCGAACAGCACACCCTTCTTGCCCTTGTACAGCTCTGCCAGGTTCACCTTGTTCCCAGGCTCCTTTTCAAACACCACCACCGACGGCAGGGCATCTCCCACCTAGAGGGAAGGCCTCCAAGGTTAGGAGAAAGGAGTCAAAGGCCAAGGGAGTGGCAGCAAAGCAGAGCCAAGAGGGCCTGGAGGGCCTGGTGACCTGGTGCAACGGCTGGAAAGGCCAGTCTCATCAGTTTCCAGAGGTCCCTCCCTGGGGCTCTCCCCTTCCTGCCCCTGGCCCGGTTACCCCACATCCTCCTGGCCTGGAGCTGCCTGCTCTTCATAGGGGCCTGGTGGTGACACCAGAGGAAGGGACAGAAGGCCTCCCGGGGTGTGGCAACGGGATGCATGAGAACTGAGTGGGATAAGTGGCAGGGGGAGGAGGGGCAGGAGGCCCTGACAACGGGGAGAGAGAGGGGTCTGGACAGGCCTGAGCATGCGGCCCCCCCATAAGAGGAGAGGGGCAGGGGCAGATCGCGAGGCCGGGAAGGGGGCTGCAGGCGAATGCAGAGATACAGAACAAAAGAAGAAATCCTAAAGGGGCTGCATGGGGCTGGGGGAAGCAAAGACAAAGGGGGTGGTCCCTAAGCAGACCAGAGCTTGGGGAGTGAGATGAAGTAGAGGTAGAGGGGGCGGGCCTCAGAAGGGGGGAAGGAGATGGGGGTAGCTCCGGAAGATGGGAGGGGTGAAAGACCGAGCAGAAAGGTGGCAATAAGCCTGGGATGGAGAAGACACGGTCCCAGAATGGAATGGGCAAGACAAAATGGGGGCCTGAGGGGCAACAAGAGGACCTGGTGGAACTATGGTTAAAGACCTCGGCTGTGACCAGAAGGTAGCAGCTATATGGTCGCTATGAGTCTCAATGGCTTAAAAAGCAGTGGGTTGGGAAAGGGTCAATGATTGTTTAAAACGGTGAAAGGTGACTGCCTGCAATAGGACAGAAACGAGGGCGAGGTTACCCCGAAGAACATGCTCAGGGTGGGGAGAGAGCCCTGGGGTGAAAGAGATCACTCCAGAAGGTGGGGGAGGCCACGGTATTCAATCGCCTGAGAACGGTGGACGTGGATGGGAACACGGGGGAGCCCTCGACCGGGGGCCGTTCCAGGGATGGGGCACGAAGCTCCAAAATGTAGTGAGAATGGGGGTCTTGCTTAAGAATGAGGGGTCCTTCGGTGGGAAGGGCCTCTAAAGGACAGCTTTGAAGGGCAGGAGAGAGGGCGACACCTCCAGAAGAGCGAGACGGGGAACGGCTTTGCGGAGAGACAGGGTCAGCAGTCACCTTGATCGGGGCCATGGCTGCTGCGGCTCTGCTGAAACTGCGGGTCCTGCCAAGCGTCCACCCTCCTCCTCGCCGGCCTGCTCCCACCGCTGCCGCTCCTGCAGACTCGACAGAGGCCACGCCACTGAGCACCAAGCCCGCTCGGAGGCCGAGAACACGTAGAGGAGCCAGCTCCATGCCCGGCCCAGAGGCCGCAACTGCCAGGTGTCTCCAGCCAGCCCCCGCAGGAGGCGGGGCGCGCAGCTAGCGAATCACAGAGCCTGAGGAAGGCGGGGCCTCGGCTGCGGCCGCCCACCGAAGACCGCCCGCTGGTGGGCCGCTGCGCTGGAGGCCTAACTTCCGGTACGGGCTTGTTTACATATGGGGTGGGGCCACTACGCAATTAGTAACGGGAAGGAGCTTTCAGCAGGCCCGCAGCCTATTTGCATACGAGGATGGGTCCCTTTTCATTTGGATCGGCATAGTGTATGGGCTGGAGGAGTGTTACTCTGAGTCATGGAGGACAAGGACAACACAGTGTGGTCAGGGGTCTGTGTAGGAGGAAAACGCCCGTTCATATGCATTCATTGCGATCCCCTGCATTGACTTGTACTCCGGAAGTCGAGGGAGGCTGGAAACGGCCTAAACTACTGAGGGTGCGCCGCAGCAATGTCCTGCCGCCACGCTTCCGGTGGCGGCCCGAGATCCCAACAGGTTTTTTACCGCCCTCCGTTCTGAAGAGTCACAGAGGTTCCAGCAACTTCGCCGCTTCCGGTCCTCCCAGCCAGCCAATGGACTAGAATGGCGCAGCAGTCCCGGAAGTGAGGCAGGCGATGTACCGACCTTTTTCCGGTTCCGGTCTGGCGGGAACGCTTAGTGGCGACATGAAGCTCCTCACCCACAACTTGCTGACCTCGCACGTGCGGGGGGTGGGGCCCCGCGGCTTCCCCCTGCGGCTCCAGGTACCTGCTGGGGCAATCTCGCCCATCAGCCTAGCGGAATCAGGGAGCCGGGGTCACGCCCCTGCCTAACTCACTGCGCCGCCTTGCAGGCCACCGAGGTCCGCATCAACCCGGTGGAGTTCAACCCGGACTTCGTGGCGCGGATGATCCCGAAGGTGGAGTGGGCGGCGCTCCTGGAGGCGGCAGATACAGTGAGGACCCGCCCCTCGCCCGTACACCGCCCTGGGTGGTCTCCCCGCTGCGCCTGGGACCAGGCTCGGGCCGGGGGGGGGGGGGGGGGGGGTCGGGGATGCCCAGCGATGATTTAGGCCTCTTGCCCACAGTTGCATCTGACCGAGGTCCCCAAAGGGCCGACGGAGGGATACGAGCGCGATGAGCAGTTCCTGAGGAAGATGCACCACGTCCTGCTGGAGGTGAGACCAGGGCCACCACCCACTTCCCCGGCTACCCGGTCCCAGGCCGCTAGTGCTCAGCTGTGCCCCCCCCCCCGCAGGTGGACGTGTTGGAGGGCACCTTGCAATGCCCGGAGTCTGGACGTCTCTTCCCCATCAGCCGCGGGATCCCCAACATGCTGCTGAACGATGAGGACAGTGAGACTTAGCCTTTCCTGGCACCCCTCTTCCGTTCCGTGCTGCGCGCGTCTTGGTTTTTGTACATTGTTTGCTGGTTGTTCTTTGCGTCCTCAACCCTCGACCCAATGACACGCTGGACACGGAGTGTTCTTGAGCTTGATAGTGTATATTTTTTTTTTTCTCATTAAAGGTTCAAAACCAAAAGCGGTTTTTCTTTGCAGCAAATATACATTAAAATAGAGTCTCTGTACAGCCAAAGGCTCTGGGCCCTGGCTTGCCCCGTGTCCCTGCGCCTCCCTGGCCAGACCCAAAAATAAATATAGTGTTATTGCTGTGCAGGGGTGGAGGCAGTGCTCTCCCTAGCCCCTGAGGAGGCCGGGTGGGGGCCGATGGGGGGCCCTGGCCACCCTACGGGGTCCAGGGGCTGGAGCCTGCTTGGAGTTATTGCTTCAAGGGGGGCAGTAATGCCCAATGCAAATAAGAAGGGAGGAGCGAAGGGGGCAGGGGCCTTTGCTTTCCAAGTCCCCCTCTACTCTGGAGGGGGTTGGGTTAAGCAGCAGCAAAAGCATCGACCACTGGGAGACTGTGGCCTCTACCCACCTCCCTCCCTGAGATCAGGCTTCTGCCCCCCCCACATACACCCCCTGCAGCCCCCTATGGCTTCCGCAAGGCCCCCTACACTCTGGGGGCCCATTATGGCTTGCAAGGGGCAGCACTGTGCCCAAAGCCTGGGCGCACACGTTCCCAGCTTCTGCACCCCCCTGGGGAGGGGAGAGTGTGGGGCCTGCTCCCAGGGGCTGATGGCATTGCCCTGGCCCTGCCAGCAGGCTGTGGCACTGCCCAGACCCCAGCTCTGCCCCCTTGGGGCCGACCCCATGCTGGCACATCCTGCCAGCACCCCCGCCCGTGCCCACCCCCCGCCTCAGTCCATCATGGCCTCGAGCATCTCCAGGAACAGCTTGTGCATGGGCACCTTGCCCTCCAGCTTCACCCCATAGAAATGGGCCAGCACTTTGCCTGCTGTCTGGCGGAGGAGCGGAAGTGTGAGCAGCAGCCTGCCCGCCCGCCGCCGCTCAGCACCCCCTCCGGGCCCTGCCCGGCCGGCTTCGTACTCCAGCAGGGCTTCGTGCAGGGCTTCTCGCAACTGCTCCACAGCCTCGGCATCCTCGATGTGCACGGAATCTGCAGGGGGAGAGGGCCGTTGGCCGGACCATCTCCGGAGAGGGCAGGGCCCCACCGGCTGGGGATGGAGGCTCCTGCCTTGAGCCAGGACCTACCCCTTCCCCTTCAACGACGGCTGCCTCCTGTCCACCTCACCTTCCCTCCCCTTCTTTGCCTGCAAACACAGCGCTGGGTCTCAAAATCGCGTGTACGGTTCCTGGCCCTGCCCTAGGCTTGCTGTGTGACCTTCAGCAAGTAAGGCACCATTCTCTGAGCCCCAGTTTTCCTTATCTGCAAAATGGGACTATGCTGCCATCACAGCATTCATAGCCGGGAGGCCCCGTGGAGAGCCCTGATGGTGCCCACCCGACTCACCCGAGTTGGCTAGGGCCAGGGCCTTCAGCAGGACATACTCCTCACGCTCAAGCCGCAGGGCCTGTAGCCGCCGCACCAGCTGCAGCAAGGCGGCTCCCAGCTCCCCCAGGCCGGCTGCCCGTGCCCCCTCTTCGTCCAGAACCAGGTCTTCGGCGAAGGCCAGCTCGTCCTGCAGTGGTAGCGAGCGCTGGGCCACCCCCAGCACCAGCACTTCCATCCACACGCTCTGCAGCACAGACATCTGGTCGGACAGCGACAGTGACGAGAAGCCTGGAGGGCAGGGGAGCCTCGCTGAGCAAGCGTGTGGGGCAGGCTGGCCGACCCAGGGCACCCCGACCACTGGGCCCTGTACCTGGGATGCTCTTGGCCCAGCTGATGGTGACCACAATCTCTCGGTCAAAGAGGTCACAGAGGGTCGCCACCGCGGGGAGGTGTCCCTCGGGGCCTGCCGGGTCTGGCATGGCGTACAGCTTCTCAGGCTCCACCACCAGCAAGTGAGAGACCAGTGCGTTCACTGGGGCTGCAGGGACAGCAGGGGCTACTTGGACAGTCGAATTCACCAAGCTTTTCAGGGTCAAGCATCTTCCCAGAGTTGGCCCCTCTGGCCTTCCTTGATGGCCGCTGACCAGTCAGGCTCAGACACCACCCTCCAGGGAAAGCCAGCCCCTTGACTCATAGCGACCCCTCCTTGGGTTTCTGAGGCGGTATCTCTACGGAAGTAGATTGCCCAACCTTCCTTCCGAGGAGTGGCTGGTGGGTTTGAACTGCCAGTCTTCTGGTTACCAGTCCAATGCCTTAGGCACTACACCACCACAGCTCCTAAGTGTTAGGAAACCCATCCTGTCCCCGGGTGTACAGTGATTGATGCAAGAATGGCATTTCCATAAGTACTTCTCAGAGACATGAGTAAATGAACAGATGGGTGATCCCAGAGGCCTCTCTGTCCCAGCTCTGCCCATGCCCTGCCACTCCAGGTATGTGCTGTGTTCTCACCTGTCTTCCGGGGACCTCCAGCTACTGCCAGGGGGCCAGCAGGGAAGGGGCCTGGGAAGGGCAGCGGGTCTACCTCTGGCCGCCGCTTGTATTTCTGTCGTCCACCCCGGACACGGTCCAGACGCACCCCTGGAATTGTTGGATGGGCCTGTGTCCGTGGGGCAGCCCTGCAGAGCCCTCCTCCCCAGGCCTTGTCCACCTTGTCCCCTCCGGCCTCCCCCAGGCCCCGGCCAGTGCTCACCCTCCTTGAGCATGCCCACCCGCAGGCACTTGGTGAAGCGGCAGGCCTGGCAGGCCTTGCGTCTCCGCTTGGTGATCTCGCACTCGTTGGAGGCCGGACAGCTGTACTCGATGCTCCCTGCCGGGAAGAGGCGGGGCTCCAGTGGCGGCCTCCCAGGGCCCGGAGGGGGCCCCTGCTGACAGGACAGCCCTGACTGGCCCAGGGCAAGCACAGGTCTGGGCATGTGGGGAGGAAAGGGAGAGTGGGGGCTCCATAAGAAAGGGGGAAGCCCGCTAGGCTGGGGGCCTTGCCTGCCTGGGGAGTCAGCCTGTACCTCTGCCCCGAGCCATGTCCCTGGGCCACCTGGCCCTCATTTGCTAGCAAGGGCCCCATGACCATGTTGCCAAGTCCACTGGTTCCGTCTCAGTCCTCATCTTGGCTTAACCCTTGGGGCTCTGCCCTCGGCCCTCTCCTCCACTCACTCCTGTGGTGATTGAAAGTCAAAGGGCTTGTGAATTTGTCTCCAGCCCAGACCTGCCCTGAACTCTAGACTCCTAGCCAACTGCTTCCTCCACACTGTGTGGGTCCAGAAAGCATCTCAAACTTGACACATCCCAAGTGCTGCCTCCCAAAGCCCATGACTCCATTGGTCCATGGTCCAGATGCCCAAGCCAAAACCAAGGAGACATCCTCCATGCCTCTCATAACCCACAGCCAAGCCGTCTGCAAGTCCTGGTGGCTTCACCTCCAAATATACCCAAGATCCGAGCCCTCCTGCCTGTCACTGCTTTCCCCTGGGCCTGAGGCACTGTCCCCTTACCTCCTCACTGGTCAGGCCTCCTTCCCTCTGCTGTAGGCACAGCAGCCCAAGGAGCCCATCAAACCCAAGTCCGATCCTCTGTCTTCTGCTTTCTCCAGTGAGTTCCCTTCTTGGAGTAAAAGCCTAGTGAACCCAATGGCCTCTGAGGCCTGCCCACCCCCTGATCTTGTTTCCCCATATACACCTGCTCCTCACACAGGCACTGCCGTAGGTCACACTGATCCCTCTGCCTGAGCCCTTCCCAGTTGTCACACCCACTCCTTCAGGTTTTGCTCCATAGCCCTGTTTGCTCAGTTGAAGGAGGCCTTCTCTGACCACCCTGCAAGAACAGCAACTCCCGTCTGCAGACACCTCCTGTCCCCTTTACCCAGCAATAGTTTCTCTTCAGTTCTCACTGCCATGGAGTTGATGCTGACTCACAGCGACCCCCATTGGGTTTCCAAGGCTGTAAATCTTTATGGAAGCAGACCGCTTCAACTTTCTTCCAGAGAGCAGCTGGTGGCTTTCAACCAGTGACCTTCTGGTTAGCAGTCAAATGCCTTAACCACTACACCACCAGAGCTCCTGCAGCTCTCAACACTATCTAACGTACTACGTATTGTGCTAATTTATGTCCTTTATAATCTGTCTACCCGCTTTGGTGTCAGCTCCATGAGAGCCAAGATGATCCCCAGCACGAGGGACAGGGCCTGGCCCACAGCTGTCACTGTTGCTGGCTGTCGCTGAATCGGCCCCTGACTCATGGCACCCATGCTTAACGGAATGAAGCACCGCCTGGTCGTGTACCATCTCCTGATTGGTTGCAGACTGGACAACTGAGATCTCATTGGCTGATATTTTGGAAGCTGATCACCAAGCCTTTCTTCCTACTGTCCTAGTGTGCAAACACCACTGAAACTTGTCAAGCACCAGAGCAACACACAAACCCCCACCGACAGACGAGAGACGGCTGCATGGCAGGTGCACAGAGTAGAAGCGACTCCAGGTCTCCTGTGTGGAAAGCAAGAATTCTACCACTGAACCACGAATGTCCCCTGGCCTGTCACCAAGACCAAACCAAACCCGCTGCCATCGAGTCAATTCCAGCTCATAGTGACCCCCACTGGGTTTCCAAGGCTGTAAATCTTTACAGAAGCAAACTGCCTCATCTTCCTCCCACAGAGCAGCTGGTGGGTTTGAACCACTGACCTTCTGGTTAGCAGCCAAACACTTTACCCACTATGCCACCAGAACTCCATTTGGCCCATCATGAGTGCTCACAATTATTTGTGGCCTTCCCAACCATGATGGGTTATCACAGGGACAAATGATACAAGAGCCCACAGGTTGGTAGCACATCTCGTCCTGGTGCATTTTCTCCTATACTCGGGTTCCCTGCTCAGCTCAAGACACCTCCTCCAGGAAGCCCTTCAGAACCCTGGGCCCAGCCAGGGTCCTCGGTATACATGGCACACTTTCCCTCCAGCACTTACCTCAGCTGTTATACAGTGGTTTATTCAAGTCATTGTCTCCTACCTCTGCTCTCTGCTACAACAGAAACTGCTTGAGGGCAGGGGCAGTCCGGCCTTGGTCCCAGCTCTGTCCCCAGGACAGTAGCCAGGGCAGCAAAGCACTGGTTTGTGAAGAAGCAGGGGCCCTAGAGGCTGCCAGGGGCCCATCCTGACAGTACCACTTTCCACCTGTGTGACCTTGGTCAAGTTCATATCCAACCTGGGAATTTCCCCATCTTATTACCAAAGTAGGTGAGAATTAATGAGGATAACAGTAGGAGAACCTATAGCATAGCACATAGCACCTAAGTGCTCGATAAATGTTAACTTATGTTTATAGCCGGGGCTCGGTAAGTATGTGTCAACTGAGTGAAGACTGTGAAGGGTCTGAGGTGAATCGGAAACACCTAGACCCGGGTCTTTGAGCTCCCTGGTCTTCAGAGCCCGAAGGGAGCACAGAGGTTCTGGACTAGTGGATCTGGGACAAGTCAAAACTCGCCAGAATGTCCCAATCAGTCGTAAGGCATCTGTCCGAAGTTCACGTATTAGTAGTGATCACGAGGAGCTGCCTGCCATTCAAGAGCTCAGCTCTGGACCCGAAGCAACCCAAGTTCAAAGCCTGGTTCTGCTGGTTCCTACTTTTAGGACCTGAACAAGTCACCACCACCCCCACTTGCAAAAAAGAACCTCACTGAGTCTCCGTGTCCCCATTCTGTTAAATACGATAATAGTGCTTACCACTTACAGTGTTCCTGTGGAGGCTGAGGCCATAAAAGTGAAAAGGCATAGTGCCTGGCACTCAAGAAATGTTTAAAAAAATATATATATATATATACGTTCCAAAGTAACCAATGGTTCGAGTAAACACATAAATAACTGGTACAGCCCAAGGAAGGATTACATCAGCATCTTGCTCACGCGGTCATGTTTTGGTATGTCTTCCCAAGAGGGAAAAATTCAGTGATTTTTAAGAGCAGGGATGCCTAGTCGTCTTTTCAAATTGGATGTTAAAATAGGTTATAGCCCGCCTCAGTCACTCTACTCGTACAAACTTGCCTATATTGCTTCAGCTTTGGGGAAATCGAGAAGAAAGGGAGTACATTCTACACTGGTGAGCAGTTGGCAGCTGCCAGAAGCAAGAACCATGTTGGGGAACAGGCAGAGCCTGCCCTGAAATTTTCTGTGGACCCAGAGACCTAGGAGATACCCCTAACCCCTGTCACAACCCACATCTGCTCCATCAACAAATCCTGGTGGGCTTTATTTAACTTTTCAGGGAAAGAGTGTTCTTGGGAGGTGGGAGGGCCTGGGAACAGTAGACTGCCAACCCAGGTGGCACCACGGCAGGCTGCTCTACTGTACCCAACAGTGCACCAAGTGCCGGTGGGAGGTCAGAGGGTATAGGGCAGAGGGCACAGGAGTGGGGTAGGGGCTCACCCTGGATGGTCCTCTTGAAGAAGGCTTTGCAGGCCTCGCAGGACGCCACGCCATAATGGTAGCCGGATGCCACATCCCCACAGACCAGGCAGAGGCGCTTGGGCAGAGAGCTGAGCACCAGCTTCCCACCACCCTGCTCGCCAGGCCCAGCCCCCTCCCCATCCTCCTCCTCCTTGTGGCCTGGGAGGCAGCGGGCAGGAGCTGGACCAGGGGCCAGGGCCACAGGGGGCTCGGGCTCAGTCTCTGAGGAGCCCTTTGGGCTGTCGGGGCTGGCTGGCTCCGCCTTGATGTAGAGAGGCTCAGTGCCCACCACCTGGCTGGACATGACGCTGGTCACCTGCAGGGAGACACCCGTCATGTCCCAGGGAAACACGGGGATGGGGGATGGGGAAGAAAGACACCCTGCCACCAAGTTGCCCAACCCTGGGCCCAGGGCCAGACTACCAGGCTCCGCAAGGGGGGAGAGAGGACAGAGTCCAGGAAAGGAAGAGGGCCCCCAGTGTTGTCATGGAAACAGAGTCTCTAGAGCCTCCAGGGCCAGTAACTGACAGCAGGTCTCCTACTGGGAAGGGTGCTTGGAAACCCCCTACTCCTACCCCAGGTTTATGGTCAACCTTCAACCCCAGCTGGAACCCCCCCACCAGAAGCAAGATCCCTCCTAATTTTCTTCAGATGTTAGGGGCCTCCATGGTCCCCCATGCAGGTGTCCTCTACTCACGAGAGCACACAGAAGGGAGCTGACACATTCATACACACGTGTTCACACCTTTACACACTCCCACTCACCTGGGTGTCCCCACATGCCGGTCCACACTCTCTTCTGGGGACTCTCACACTGGGCCTTTCCCAAACCTCAGTCCTCACTCATGTTTATACACTCCTCCCCAAGAGTGCACCAGTAAACACAAACTCACACTCAAGGCTCGTGATCACACATTCCCACTCCCACCGTGCCCCACACTTACACACTCTTGTGAAAACACATCAGGGCCTGTGGCACCTGACACACGGGCCCTCCCTCCTGCCCCAACCGGCTCAATCCTGGCCACCCCGGCGGGGGGTGCCTCCTTTGCCCTGCACCCCGCCTGCATACTCACTCCTCTCCCCTGCTGCCGCAGAGCCAACTGCCTCCCAGGGCACTCCGATCACCCCCCACACACACAGAAAACCTGGGCACACCTGCGGGAAGTTGCCTAAAGTTGCTGCGCCCGCGGGGGACCTCTATCAGGGTATCAGGAAGTAAACCGGGAGAGCCAAGGAGAAGGAAGTTCTCCCCTGCCGGTGCGATGACCTTTGACCCACAGAGGAGGGTGGCTCAAGGCCCCTTCGAGCGCCCCCACGTGGTCCTCAAAGCCCCTTGCCCTACAGGGAACCCTCCTCATCTTCCAACCTGGCCCGCCCCTGGGACGTCGGCAAGTCCCAGATGCCGGCTTGAAACCCTGCCCTGAGGCTGGCTCTCAGGCCCAAGCCTGAGTGGTGCCGGACCCTGAGACCCAGGCCGGCCCACCAGGACCCAGACGCCGGACCTTGCCCGGAACCCTGACCCCTCCAGGCTCTCGACAGGGTTGGGACCGTGACCCCGGCAGGCCTGAGCCCCCGCCCCTCGCCCGCCCCCTACCGCGCTCGCACATGGCCCCGCGCCCCGCCCGCCCCCG